CCCGCACACACACACACACACACACACACACACACACACACACACACACACACACACACACACACACAAATATCCTCGGACCCCGCCAGGTGGAGTCCATCAAGGAGCGCCTGCTGGCCAACAATGCCCAGACCTACTGGGTGCCGTCCTACGTGAAGGACAAGCGCTTCCACAACTGGCTGGAGGGGGCGCACGACTGGGCGGTGTCGCGCAGCAGGTGGGTGGGGCGCCTGCCGCCGCTGCTGCTCCCGCCGCTGCTGCTCCCGCCGCTGCTGCTCCCGCCGCTGCTGGCACGTGTTGCCTGCCATCACACGCGCTGGAGCAGACCGGCATCAGCTGCAAGCGCACTTGACCAAACACACACACACGCACGCACGCACGCACGCACGCACGCACACACCACATATAGACATACACAAATACACACCAAACCGTGTCAGGTTCTGGGGCACGCCCATCCCCATCTGGGCCAGCGAGGATGGTGAGGAGATCAGGGTGGTGGGCTCCATACAGGAGCTGGAGGAGCTGTCGGGAAAGAAGGTGGGGGCCAGCACCCTGTGAACCTATGTTTTTTTGCGTTGTCAAGAGACGCGCGCGCGCGCGTGTGCGTGAGTGAGTGTGTGAGTGCGTGTGTGTGTGTGTGTGTGTGCGCGCGCGCGTGTGTGTGGTGTGAATGTGTTTGCGCGCCAGTGTGGCACGACGCCCGCGCGCGACTTGCTTTGCTGTGGGTCCAGCTTGCTGGGCTCCCGAGTGTTGCGGGTGTGTGACGTCGAGGGTATGGGGGGCCGTGTTTGGTCAGCTGTGTTTGGGAGCGCGCTGCAGGACCCACTCTGCAACAAGGTGGGCTTGCTTTTTCACCCCTTTGTTCTTTCCGCTGCGCGTCTTGCCTTCGGCGCCCTGCATGTCAGCACCCAAAACAGTCTTTGATGCATTCCGCGCCCGACGTTGCCCACGCCCTAAGCCACCACCCACCACCACCCACCCCTGGTGTCACCAGGTGACGGACCTGCACCGCCACTTCATCGATGACATCACCATCCCCTCCCTCACGGGCAAGGGTGACCTGCGGCGCATTGGTGGGTCGCAGTGACGTCATCATGACCCCCTATCCCCTCTCCAACCCTCCACGCGCACAACACATGTGTTGGCGACGCGTGGCTCCTCCACTATGCGGCCCGCCCCACCGCAGCAGCCCTCGCTGCCAGGCGTCGCATCCGCCGCTGCGTGCCCGCAGCCGCCCCCCCTGACCACCCTGCCTTTGTTCCCCCGAACCACCCCTCCAAAATTCGAATTCGAAACGACACCAGACGACGTGTTTGACTGCTGGTTCGAGAGTGGCTCCATGCCCTACGGCCAGCTGCACTACCCCTTCGAGAACAAGTGGGTGGTCTGTTGGTCTCGTTCGGCGGTTGCATTGGGCGGCTTTTTCTTTACCATCAGTTTTTCAGAGGGATCGTGTCGCTTGGCCATGGGTGGCGATCCCACTGGCGTGTGTGTTCAAGCCGGCGCTTGATTTCGCCGCCCCCTGGGGACCCACCCGCCACAACACCGGAAGAAGGGGGGACGAATCGCCCCCGCACTGCCCCCCCCCCCTCACCCCCGGCACGGCTGCCCAATTTGTCACTCTCCCTTCCCAAACCCCACAGCCGCCGTCGCCCCCCCCCCCCAAACCAAAACCTCAACTGCGCCGCTTCTGAAACCCCTGCCACCTCCCGCAACCCCCAGGCAGCTGTTTGAGTCAAACTTCCCGGCGGACTTCGTGGCGGAGGGGCTTGACCAGACGCGCGGCTGGTGGGCGGTGTTCGGGATGGGGGTGGCGCTTTGAGGGTTTCGCATCTTGATTTGCATGATGTGTTGTGGGATTCAGGGTTCAGGGGTGAGGGGACTTAGGGGGGCAGGTGTTTTGCTTTTTGCTGCACGGGCCAAGGGCGATGCCGCCAGTCCAGGACGATCCCTCTCACACACGCCCCGACCCCGGCCCCAACGCTCCGCTTCTGCCATGCGGAGCGGGGGGGGGGTCGTGGGCGCGGGCGGGGCGCGCCGCCGCGGCGGCTTGCCGTGCTTTTGGGCCGCCGCCGCTTTGCTGCAACCAACCCCCTTAGCTCCCGCCGACCGTCCGCCCTTGACGCGCGCCGCACCCCGCTCTCCCCCTCGTCCCCCGGTTTGAATTTCGATTGGAATTCGAATTCGAATCGCCCAGGTTCTACACCCTCATGGTGCTGTCCACGGCCCTGTTTGACCGCCCCGCGTTCAAAAACCTGGTGAGAGTGCGTGCGCGCAGCGCGGCGCGGCGCGGCGCGTGCGGGCGGCCGGCCCCTGCGGCGACGCTGGCCCCGCAGTGCCAGCTGCCCC